TTCTTTCTTTCTTTCTTTCTTTCTTTCTTTCTTTCTTTCTTTCTTTCTTTCTTTCTTTCTTTCTTTCTTTCTTTTTTTCTCTTTCTTCCTTGTTTTCTTCCTTCCTTCCCCTTCCTTCCTTCCTTTTTTTCTTTCTTTCTTAGAAAAAAAGAATGATTTTCTTTTTCTTTTTTTAATTTAATTTTAATTTTTTATGTGCATTGTTGTTTTGCCACAGAACTTGAGTTACAGACAGTTGTTATTTGCCATGTGGGTTCTAGGAATTGAACCTTGGTCCTCTAAGAGCATTCAGTGCTTTTAACTGCTGAACCATCTCTTCATCCCCATGAGATGATTTTCATCAGGCAAAAAGGGCAGTGTGCCAAGAGATTCAAGTGATGGCTTTCTGTGTAAAGACGAAGCTTGGTGAATTTTAACTCCATTGAATCTGCACTGCTTTGCTTCTGTTTTCTTGTGTTAAAAAATGTGAATAATAGAAATACATCCTCAAAGTTGTAGCTAAGTTCTTATGTTTATGTATGAAGTTAGAACACTGTATCATAGTAAACACACTGTAAGTTTAATAGTTTTGTCTGCAGTATTACCAGTAGCTATTTAAATAATTGTAGTCATGGCTTTAATTTTTTACTCAGTTTCTTAAACATAATCTTATAAAAACTTTCCTTGAAAAGCTCTAAGGGCCCACAGTCCCCAGAATAAAAATACATAGAGGTTTTTGTCTGGAGAAGTGTATCCATATTATGGCAGAACTGTCCCGTTCTTACTGATCAGGGGTACAAAAGCAAAAGGGCATTGCCAGTAATTGATGTAGGTGCCACACAAATGAGACTTTCAGACAGGGAGTTAAGCCTTGCAAAGACTCTTAGTGGAAAGAGAGAGACGTTTTCCAGCAGATTGAGACTTGAACAAAGGTATTGGGCCTTGGTGATGAGTGACATAAGCCAGTGCAATTTTGAAGGTTTTGGAGGCAGCGGAGATGGAAAAGAAAAAGAGGGAGGTAATGTGTTTATAAGCCTTTTAGTACTGGTTTGGATTTTTCTCCCCCTCCAAGTAGTTTTTGCTCACAGGGTATGGTACTCAAATTTCTCATTTGTAAGGCTGTAAAAACCTTTGCTGTGAACCATCAGGTGTGTTTACTGTATTAAACATGCTTTCTATTTTCTTATTCCAGTATTTTTCTTTTCTGAATGCTGGATTATTTTTTTCACTCTCATTTTCAAATTGTAGGATGAAATCTAAGGCTGGTGAAGGTGGCTCAGTGGGTAAAGGAACCTGCCACCAAGCCTCCCTGAAACTCAGAGTGAAAAGAGAAATGTCTAACACACATTGTCTGTTGAAACCCGAACACTTGGATTGCACATACATATGCATTCATTCACACATGCACACACAACAGGCATGAACTATACATAAACAGTTATAATTAAATGAGACCCATATGGGTTCAGAACAGCTTTACAGTGGCTCTGCTTAGGGTTAAGATTTTAGCTGCTAGTGCAGAAACCAATAGTTTATGGTGTTCAGTGGGTCTTCCCTAGTCTGAAAAGAAGTTAAAGAATCCAACTTCATTGGGAAAATATATTCATCACACCATCTTGCTAGAATGGCTAACAAACTAAAATATGATAAACAGAACATTGCTTGGCATATAAATATGCTGGTTTGTGTTAACTTTGAAGTAAAATGACTATTTTAAGCTAAGTTGGTGGTAGTGGTATTGTGCTGGTTTTTAAATTTGTTTGTTTGAGACAGAGTCTCTTATTCTGTGTTTTTATTCCTGGAATATCATATTTTCCTCTCTTTAAAAAAATAGAAATAAAGCCAGACCAACTAAGTGGCTGGTCATTAGTGGATGTCTAGGCAGAATACTCCTGACCGGCCTCAGGAGGGAGTTGTGTTGCTTTAGTGGGTGTGACATAGGCATTCATTAACACCTGTAGAATTTAATTCCTTTTTTTAAAAGAAAGGATTTAATACTTTAAGTTAAATCCATTTTATTTTAGAAATAACCATTTAAGAGAAAGGAATCGAGTGTTAGGATTATTTTGGGATAATTTTGTGAAAAAAGGGAGTTAAATGGCCCCAGGGCGCCACCTTGTGGGCAACAGTGTTACTGCATGTCTAAAATTGCCCATTCTTCCAGTGGCTGGCAATCAATGGTGGACAATCAAAATAAACAAGGTCCCTACACTACCATTGTGGAGGTTTTCTTTAGTTTTAGAAGGTGGTGCGCACACGTGCATCCTACCATTTTAAACTATGTGATCAAGAAAGATTAAAGACGATAGAACAGGTTGGGTAAGATGGTAATCTGGTTCTAAGGTGACATCTGAGTTGAAAGCAAGTCCCTGCTGTTAGAGAGAATGGTTCTAGCAGAAGCTCAGGCAGTGTGTTCCAACTATCATGGGATCAAAGTGGCTAGAGCTAGTTAGGATAGAGCAGTAGCAGTCAAGGTCAGTGATACTGAAAGTAGGGATCATATAGGCTGTGGTTTAAAAAATGTGCTGTGCTTTGAACAAGAAAGCTTTTTCTTAGGCAGTGTCACTGTTAATGTGGTATGTAGGATGTTAGGAACACTAGTGTATGTGGTCATTCAGGAGAATGAATCATCAGTGGTGGAGAATCATTAGTTTAGAATGTGTTTTTAAGGCAGAGCTTATATTGTATAGTGACTGGTTTCGATTGTGGGGAGTAAGAAAAGCCAAAGGTGAACTACCAGATACCTGTTGGAGCATTCATTCACTCTGGGTTAAATAGTGATACCCATTTACTTATGTGGACTTCTGTGGAAAGGGTGGGAGCTAATCAGAAAGGGCTTTTGGGGTGCAAAATGACTGCTTTAAAATAGGAAATATGGTAGACTTTATCAACTCTTAAGATAGTATGGACTATTTTAAAAATAAATTGTTTACACATGTTTGTAAGCGAGTGGTCACTTGAGCAGATTTTTGTCAGATTATAATCTTAACTGTGATATAAGCTTATTATTGCTTGTCTTTGTTATGGACTAAACTGGTGAGATCCTGCTAGAGCATGGAGGAATGCCGAGTCTGTGAACACTACTCCATATTGATAATGGTGCTGTCATGTAGAAACTTTGTAAATTGAACAGTCACCTTTAAATTTTAATTTTAAATAGCAAAGCCTAGTCCCCCTAAACTTAACAGATCAGGAGATCAGGAGCTCCAGGACCGCCCCCTCCCCCAGCCCTATTGTTGCGATGGTGTGTGACAATGATAACTATCTTGGGGGGGTTCCAGTGTACCCTTGGACTTAAGAGGCCACTGGCTTAACTAACTCTGGTTGCTAACATGAATTTGGACCTTGAATTTTACCCCTTAGACTCCTATTAAATGTGTGTTAGACTGTATGGGAATTCAAGGCAGTCAGAATAATTCTCTTCATTTAAAACTTAAAAGACAAGTATGTAATGGAATTGTGACAAGACCCTAAAATGCCATAGGAAAGAGTCAAACTAATTGTTTGGGGGAGGTTGGGGGGCTTCTCCTGAGAAGGTGGCACTTTAGTTGGTTTTGGGATGATAGTTCCCTTAAAGAGAAAAATAGCATATACAAATAGTACCATGTTGTTCTCTAAAGGCAAAATTCGTAACCTCAGCAGGAATTTTGAGCCTCAAATGGAATGTTGGGGCCAGAGGGTTTCCAGTGCCCAAGACTCAGAGAATGTCTATTCTGGACAGTTTGGAAAACCACCTCTCCTGGCAAATACTTTGTATAAGTGTCCATGTTGGGTGCCTTTAATTCCAGCACTCGGAAGGCCGAGCCAGGCGGATCTCTGTGAGTTAAAGGCCAGCCTGGTCTACAGAGCGAGATCCAGGAAAGGCGCAAAGCTATACAGAGAAACCCTGTCTTGAAAAACCAAAACCAAAACAACAACAACAAATGTCCATGTTGCCAAGAGGTTGCCTGGCAAAATGACACCACAATTTCTAAAATGATTCTCCTTTTATTTATTTATTTTTTTAGGTTGGTACAGGTCTTGGGCCAACACTGGAGTTTTATGCACTTGTTTCTCAGGAACTACAGAGGGCTGACTTGGGTCTCTGGAGAGGTGAAGAAGTAACTCTTAGCAATCCAAAAGGTAATGTGCAGATGTGAGTGGGTCGGTTTGTATTACTCAGATCAGGTAAGGGGTCCTACATCCTAGTCAGTCTCTGCTGGGGCTTTGTTCTTTGCCTTTCTTTCTTTTTTTTTTTTTGTGTGTGTGTGTGGGGGGGGGGGAGCTGTTTTCTCCAATGGGAAGGCTTTCTAGTTTAGAGGCCGTTGCTCCAGTTTTGTGAAAACTAAATTTCTTAATGTTCTTAGTTATCAGATTTTGTTTTATTTTGGAAAGTCTCATCTGAAGTTTGGTGACTTGCTCGTTTTACAGGAAGCCAAGAAGGGACCAAGTATATTCAAAACCTCCAGGGCCTGTTTGCGCTTCCCTTTGGTAGGACAGCTAAGCCAGCTCATATCGCAAAGGTTAAGATGAAGTTTCGCTTCTTAGGAAAATTAATGGCTAAGGCTATCATGGATTTCAGATTGGTAAGTTTAGGATTGTTTGCTTGTCTGTGATTTTGTACAATGTTCTGTAAAAGTACCTTAGTCCCCTGCACTCAATGCTGTGTTCTAGAGCACTCTATTTTGAATGTGTGCACAAACTGCTTGAGAATTTCATTTAAAATGCCAATTCTGCTTCTGAAGCACACGTGTAAGTAAGGCTGTGACAGCACTCAACCTCTAGTTTGTGTAGCATTCCTTCAGTAGCCAGGGCTCAGAGTCAGGCAATATAAAGATGGCAATAATTGTATTTTTGTCAGGATTCGATTTGATGTTTTTAATTCAGCAAGAAAGCCATGAGCATTGTAGGTAAACTCATTGAATTTCTGTTAGAATGCTCTTGTGATAATAAACCAAGGAATCAATATTCATGGAGGTTTGAATATTTCTGGACTTTTCTTCATTTCCTCTTCTCACATTTTCTGAGGTACTTTATCAGTATGGGTAAAACATTTTCATTTGAGAAACCCACAAGTTTACATTCTCTAAGAGGTGTATACAGCTCACTAGTTATTTTAGAAGTTCCATTCATTTTAATTTGTTTTAAGTTTTTCATTTTACTTTCTCTGATTTTAGAACATTAAATATATAAGTAGAATTGTATTGAGTTTACTTGGTTCAGAATAAAGTAAAATTTCACTGACGAACACTTCATGTAGTGTTTCAGAGGTACACAGGTAAAATACTTTATGGACATTGTATGTTCACCATTGGTGTTCATTTTTGTGTTACGTTTAAATAGGTTCTTTTTTTTAAAAGTTTCTTTTTATGAGCATTGCTGTTTTGTCTGCATGTATGCATGTGTAAGGATGTCGGTCCTTGTTGCTAGAGTTACAGACAGTTATGAGCTGCTATGTGGGTGCTGGGAATTGAACCTAGGTCCTCTGGAAGAGCTGCCAGTGTTCTTAACCACTGAGCCATTCTCTCCAGTTCCCTTAAATAGGTTCTTTAGCATGCTAAAATTTTGGCAGAGATTTGTGGCTCTCAATTTCATTTAAAGATAGAAACAGTTCCTAATTTTTCCCCCTGGGAATATTTGACCTATTCAAATGACCTCTTGTAAAGTGCCTATTACAAGCTAGTTGTGACAAAGTATGTTGCTTGTTCCCTTTCAGGTGGACCTTCCCCTTGGCCTGCCCTTTTATAAGTGGATGCTGCGGCAGGAAACTTCACTGACATCTCATGATTTATTTGACATTGATCCGGTTGTAGCCAGATCAGTATATCACCTAGAAGACATTGTCAGACAGAAGAAGAGACTGGAGCAGGATAAATCCCAGGTAGGTCTGGAAGAGACAACCAGAGGATCAGATCAGTTATTTGTTCTAGAATTATGAGGCTTGTTCACTGGTTTGTATTTGACCTAGTTTATTTGATAATAGTTTTAAAAAAACAGCCTGATTTCACAATGTACCCGCTGTGATTGCTAATAACAGCAAGTGAATGTCTTGATTTCCAAATAAAATATACTTCTAATGGAAGTTCTAAGACCACTTGTCTTAAATTTTAGGTAATCAGATACCTTATCATTAATTCTTCGGAAAGATACTTCTTTGTTTCTCTGTCGTCTTCACCTCTCTACCACAGTTTGTGCTTGCATTGCGAGTTTATACCACTATACTTAGCTTGGAAATAGATTTTAATGGTTGTTCACAGGCTGGGGCTATACTGCTCAAATGTAAAGCACTTAAACTAGCATGTATGAGGTGCTAGGCTCACTACCCAGTATTATTAATCAAAAACAGGTTTATGGATGCCTACCCTTTGAAGTTTCTGTTTCATCTCACAGATAATCATGAGCTCTGTATCATTGCTGCCTTTTTTTAATGTATATATTACCAGCTCATTTAGGCTCACTTTGTGATTATATGTATGAGTATTGGATATCAGAAGAAAACAGGTTGTATTTTCTAAAAAGTAACATTGTGCAGTAACTTATATTCGTGTAGGTTTAACCAAATGTCATTTTATAGTTATTTATTTGTATTTATGGGTATGTATGACCGCTTGTATCTGAGTTTGTATACTGCATGTGTGCCTGGTGCCCAAAAAGGCCAGAAAAAGGCGTCAGGTTTTCTATACCTGGAGTTATAGGTGGCTATGAGTCACCATATGGATTCTAGGAACAGAACTTAGGTCCTCTGAAAGATCAGCACCAGTGCTATTAACAGCTAAGCTATCTTTCCAGCACTTTAAGATTATTTTAAGGTAAGATTAGCACATTCATAAAAGACAGCATTGCACCTTGATGGAGTAAACACAGTAGAGGCTGGAAGATGATTTGAAAGGGTATTCATTTTATCTCCCAGTTATGTTTATGAGGAGATAGTATCTAAAGATGCTGTGATAGTTATTAGTATTCATTGTCAGCATGTAGGAGACAAGTCTCTGGCACACTTCTGTGGAATTATCTAGTAAAGTTTAGCTTCTGACAGTGTATCTGTGTTGTGTTGTCTTGATTATGTTAATAAGGTAGGAAGACTAACTCACAGTGAGTGGCCCTATTCTATAAGCAGAAGATCTTGGGTTGTGTAAGAGTGGGGGAAGTGAGCTGAGTATTAGCATGTGTATTACTCTACTGAGTTCTGCTTGTGACTGTGGTTGTACTATGAACAATTCTCTCAAGTTCCTGCCATTATGACTGTACTAGTAGCCCCTTTCTTCTCTCCCTCTCTCCTCTCTCTCAATTAAAATGTTTTTAAACATTTTACATACCAACCACAGATCCCCCTCTCATCCCTCCTCTTGCTTGTTCTACCTCCTCTTCCCCCTACAACTCAACTCCCATCCCCTCCTTTAAAAGGGTAAGTTCTCCCATGCGGGGACAGCAAAGTCTGGTACATTCAGTTGAAGCAGGACCAAGCCCCTGCCCTTTGTATCAAGGATGGACAAGGGGTCTGACCATAGGTAATAGGATTCAGAAAGCCAACTCATACACCAGGGATAGTTCTGATCACACTGCCCCTCAAACAGACCCCGCTACACATCTCTCTCCGTATGCAGTGTCTAGTCTGGAATGTTTGAGTTCCTATGAGCTTAGTTTAGTTATCTCTGTAGATTTCCCATCATGATCTTGACCACTTCTCCACTCCCCAACCCCACCCCATATAATCCCTGTTTTCTCTCTTTGACTGGACTCCTGGAGCTTGGCCTGGTGCTTGGTTGTAGATTTCTGCATCTGCTTCCATCAGTTACTGGATGAAGGCACTATGATGACAGGGTGTTCACCAATCTGATTACCAGGGTAGGCCAGTTCAGATACCATCACCACTATTGCTAGTAGTCTAATCTGGGGTCGGTCTTATGGATTCCTGGGAATTTCCCTATCTCCAGGGTTCTCTGTTGCCCTATAATGTCTCCCTCTATCAAGATACATCTTTCATTGCTCTCCCACTCCTTCCTTCCCCCAGCTCAGCCATCCTGTTCCCTCATGTTCTCATCCCCCATCCTCTCCCTCTATTGCCTTCCTTATCCCCAGTTTACTCATGGAGATCTCATCTGTTTACCCATCTGTATGTCCCTCTTAATGTCCTCCTTGTTTCCTACCTTCTCTGGAGCTGTGGGTTATAGTCTGATTATCCTTTGCTTTACATCTAGTATCCATTTATGAGTGGGTACATACCATGTTTGTCTTTTTTTTTTTCTTCCTTTTTTTAAAATTTCTTTTTATTTATCTGTTTATTTATTTAAATTAAGAAAATTTAAAAATATGGAACACTTCACGAATTTGCATGTTGTCCTTGCACAGGGGCCATGTTAATCTCTGTATCATTCCAATTTTAGTATAGGTGCTGCCCAAACGAGCACCATGTTTATCTTTTTGAGTCTGTGTTAACTCATTCAGGATCATATTTTCTAGTTTGATGTTGGCTGTTGACTTGCTGTAAATTACCTTTATTGTGTTTCGGTATGTTTCTTGTATTCCTGATCTCTCCGAGACCTTTATCATGAAGGGGTGTTGGATTTTGTCAAAGGCTTTTTCAGCATCTAATGAGATGATCATGTGGGGTTTTTTTCTTTCAGTTTGTTTATATGATGGATTACATTGACAGATTTTCATATGTTGAACTATCCTTGCATCTCTAGGATGAAGCCTACTTGATCATGGTGGATGATGTGTGTGTGTGTGTGTGTGTTTGGATTTGCTAGTATTTTATTCAGTATTTTTGCATCACTGTTCATGGGGGAGATTGGTCTGTAATTCTTTGTTGCATCTTTGTGTGGTTTGGGTATCAGGGTAACTGTAGCCTCATAGAAAGAATTTGGCAATGTTCCTTCTGTTTGTTTCTATTGTGTGGAACAATTTGAGGAGCATTGGTATTAGCTGTTCTTTGAAATTCTGGTAGAATTATGCACTGAAACCATCTGGCCCTGGGCTTTTTTTGGTTGGGAGATTTCTCAATTTACTTTTTTTTTTTTTAAGAGGTCACCGCTTCCTTCAGGACATAAAGCCCAAAGTCATGGGCAGAGCAAATACCACTACACAAATTAAAATAAATGAACAATATTTTAAAGGGTATTTAGAATTGCGTAGGTTTGTATTGAACAACTGCAAGACTTTTGTTGTGTTGGTGTATTTGCTTATGCCCATGGAGTCCAGAGGTTCACTTTGGATAGCTTCCTCAGTCATTCTCCACCTGATGTTTGGGATACATAGCTCTTTGAGCCTAAATCTCACTGATTGGCTTGACTAGCTGTCCATTGAACTTCAGGGGTCTGCTTGCTTTCCCATTCCTACCCTAAGGTTCTCAGACACTAATAATTTAAACTTCTAACACATTGTTTAGCATGTGTTACATAAGGAATGAGAAAGAAAAATAAAAGGAGATAAAACTTGTAGCATGTTTTGATTGCCTCACGTATACCCAATCTTCTACAATCTTGTAAGATGCATTTACTTTTGGTGTCCTAACTTGATGTAAACTTAATATGTAGCCAAGGATTACTTTGAGTTTCTGATCTTCCTCCCTCTCAATCCCAAATGCTGGAACTAAATATGTTTGTCACATTGTCAGGTTTATTCAGTACTGGTGGTTAAACCCAGGGTGCATAACCAGCTGACCTACATCCCTGACCCACTCTCCCCTTGTTTTGTAAAACATACAAATGAGGCACATTTTTCTGGTTCATATTTGACTGGGTTTTTTTGTTTGTTTGGTTGGTTGGTTGGTTTTTTGTTTGTTTTGTTTTAAAACAATGCTAGGGACCACATCTGCCACTTCATGTCTGCTAGGCAAGCACTCCACCACTGAGCTAGACCCTTGACCTGGTAGATGAAATTCTCACAAGATAATTGGGAATATGTTTAAGGTCAATTTGATATATAAGCCAGAGACAGGTTAACTTTCCCCCCTAAGGTGGTGTTCTGTCATGTGTGTATCTGCATGGGCAGGTGTGCAAATGTTCTCTCTAGATTCCTCATGAGAACAAACCTCCAGGATTTCCTATGTCCCTCTCCTTGACTTTTCCTCCTCACTTGTTCCTCCATAATCCCCTGTCTGCTTTAGGGAAGGATAGTTTGAGAGCTTTTATGTGAATCAGCATTAATTAACTGCCTTCATTTCAGTACTTCAATTTGTGTGTTTGTCATTGATCCTTAATGTATGTTCATTACATTAATGTAAAAAATAGTATTTATGTAGACTTTTTAAGTTGTAAGCATTTAAAAAATCTCTGGGTTTGATGTGACTTGGCTCAGCTTTCTTGGAAGCCCCCACGCCCGATGTACAAAGCTGTACTGTGCTTTTTGGATAAGAAGTGAACATCTCCAGGGTGTGCTTTACACTTGAGCCTTGTAGGGGAGGGGAAAAATTTATTATACTGCCTATAATTTTCCAAATTATATATACTCTTGGGTATACAGTTAGGTTTATCAATACAGGCCTAGAATTAAGACAAGTTTTTTTTTTTCCTTCTGTTTTGTTAAAGCTTAACAAATGCATAGGGACTTTCTCTAATACTTGATTTGAGTGTGTTTACAGGGAGCAACTATTTCTCAGTATGGAAAATACCTCAGCAATCCTGTTTCTCTCTACAAAAATAGTTGTATCGATACAGAGGTGTTTAAAATGATTCCTTTTGTGATTCCAGTGACTTGTTTAATATGTAGAATATAACCAAAATTTTAACCAGCACTACAGGAATCATCAGTTGTTACAGTATTCTGTTTTTTGTGACTACAATAGAATTTTGCATGAATTTCTGTGTTCTTTCTTCTCTCCATTAAAAGACCAAAGAGAGTCTACAGTATGCATTAGAAACTCTTACGATGAATGGCTGTTCAGTGGAAGATCTAGGACTGGATTTCACGCTGCCAGGGTTTCCCAACATTGAACTGAAGAAAGGAGGGAAAGATATACCAGTGACTATCCACAATTTGGAGGAATACCTAAGAGTATGTATTGTCTCTTTTCTGTGGGTCATGGGCCATAGGAGTTTGTGTGCTGTGTTCCTATGAGGAGGGGAGTTAGGATTGATGAAACTTGGTCCCTTAGCTTCTGCCTGTGTGGACCTTTGCTAATGACCTTGCACACCACTGGGACCACTCTTGGAGGCCCTTTCAGCCTTTGTAAGCTTCTGTGCACTTTGTAGAGATCACACAAATATCTTATGCTAAAACAACAGCAAAGAAATCCTAAGAAGTTAACTTTCTCCACACTTTGAAAATAGACACAAAAGTCTAAACATAGAAGGTGAGACCTGTGGATAGACAGGTGGACTTTGTGGATCATTGAAACAGTCTTCCACCCAGTCTTATAACATGCTACCAAAAACTGCATGTTGAATAGGTCCACCATAGTCCACTTTTAGGATGACCCTCATCATTGTGGGCTCTGTCTGCTACTCACCTCAAGGGTGACCTAGAAAAGTGACCTTAAATTTTATCCTTTGTTCAAAGGACAGAGTGGAATTCCTTATCTGTTATTCACACATCAAAGGCTCCATCATAATAGATGCCCTGTATCTTCTCTCAACTGGGAAGAGCTCTAGGTCTGAAAGGTTGCACTTTACTCTGCAGAAAACATGTTTGTATAAAAAACCTTACCAGTTCTTTCTCAGTGCCTCATAAAATCTTACATTGACCCATCTTTAAGCGTGATTGAATATCATCCATTACACCACATTTTTCTCTTGTAGGAGAAGATATCAGTGAAAAGGAGTCATCACTTGTTTGAACTGCATTTCTGCCCTTGTTTTAAGCCAGATGCCTTGGCAGAATTGCTTTTAAGACACCAACATAGGCACACATACCCACACTTAATGTGTTTGTTGGGCTCATGCACTCCAAAGCATATTTACAGGGGTAGACTTTAAGGTTGCTAAATGTAGGAGAAACTATTTTCCTTTGCATGCAAATATTACAAGCTATATCTTTATATTTAGCATTGTTTAAAAGTTTGCTTGGGTTTAATCTTGACATGGGCTAAAAAGAACATTGGATTCAAGCTAGAATACTCATTTTGAAACCTTGGTCTTACGTAAAATCTTGTGTGGGACTTTAGAGCCTCTGGAAAACTTCAGCTGTAGTTTATTTTCTTTAAAAAGAAGATGATATCCAAGACCTTGCCTTCCCAGCAGTTCTATGACTCAAGTAATCCCTTTTAATAACTAATCAGTCTATCTTCTCATATTACTTGTTTCTTGTACTATCTTTGAAGAAGCTGCGTTTCCAGCTTACTAACAATGTGCAAACATCCATATCCTTGCTTTTCTAAAAGTACTTTATAATTGTTAGTTTTAAAGTGTAGTAATGGTTTCATCTTAATCTGAATATTCTATGTACCAATAAACTAACCAGGGCCACTGGGAGCTGAGTAAATTTAGAGCTGCTTTTTCTTATCCTCAAATTTTGTTCTCCTGCATGTCCAAGCTGTATCTGTTTCTAAGAAGAGGTACACACTGCAGAGGACAGGAGTTAGAAGTCAATATTCCACATTAAAAATGTGGCCAGTTGCTAATTAAGGATCTTGAAATGTTAATCTTTAATTTCAGTAGTAACATTTTAACCTCTTGGGATATTATCTTTGGCTTCTAGTAAGACAACATGTAATTATCTTCTGGAGGAAAGGTTTTCTATGAAGTTTTAAAACAATGTAACAATGTATGTGGCAGTTTTGACATTGTGTTTTATCTGACTGGCCTTTTACTGATGTAGTTTTCTTGGAAATTGTCTGGAGATTGAATAACTTTATGGTGTGGTTTCTCTGTCCTTGCTGTCCTGGAACTCACTCTGTTGATGAGGCTGGCCTTGAACTCAGAGATGTGCCTTCCTGTGCCTCTTCAGTGCTGGGATTAAAGGCATGTGCCACCACACCTGGCTTAATAACTTTTTTTAGTTTTAGCCTTTAAAGTGATTCTAGAAGGTCATTTACTATACTTTGTCACATATTAAATAGAAAATAGATTTGGAATTTTGTGGAGTTTTAAAAATGACTTCTTTTTGCAGTTGGTGATATTCTGGGCACTAAATGAAGGTGTTTCTAGGCAATTTGACTCATTCAGAGATGGATTTGAATCAGTTTTCCCACTCAGTCATCTTCAGTACTTCTACCCAGAAGAAGTAAGTAGCTCTTGTCTAAAAGACATGGTCATTTCTCTGTCTGTGTAATTATCATAGCAGAGTAGTTTACCTTACGCCTTCAAACCCTACCATTCTACAGCATTTTAGAGTAAGTAAGGGCTTAGAGTTTGGGGAAGGCTACGGAAATTTTCTGATTAAGGAAGTTTGTTAAATAAGAGTGTTCTAGAGGCAGAGAGGAATAGAATCCTTCTGTGAAAGTAAAATACAGCAGCAGCATTCTGCTCAGAGCGCCCTGCTGGTCAATGTGAAGGGGACTTGGTGAAGTTGCACCCTGGAAGCCATGTTTTTAGACAGCTACTTGTCACCCAAGCATGCAGGTGTTTCTTTACTAATTCTTTGTCCTTATTTCATCTCAAAGCTGGATCAGCTCCTGTGTGGCAGTAAAGCAGACACTTGGGATGCAAAAACATTGATGGAATGCTGCAGGCCTGATCATGGCTATACTCATGACAGGTAGGTATGGACTCTGCCAGTTCTTCAGTTTTAGTTAGAGATTTAGAGGGAGAGGGGTCAACTCATCAAAGTTAGTGGGAAGTTTTTTTTCCTAAAATTTTGTATTGTTAAAGTTGTTCCATTTGGATTTCAGCTATGACAGCAAAAATAAACTTTTAAATAATGTGTTGTAATGAAAGTTCATATGTAACCATATCTGAAAATAGATGTCATTATCAATGATTATAAGTGAGGCTTGATATATTGACATAGTATTTTAACACAAAATAATTCTGTTCTGCTTCTTGTTTTAGTCGAGCTGTGAAGTTCTTGTTTGAGATTCTCAGTAGTTTTGATAATGAGCAGCAGAGGTTGTTTCTCCAGTTTGTGACGGGTAGCCCACGATTGCCGGTTGGAGGTGGGTAGTGTCTGTGCTTAGCCTTAATTCTGTGAGTGAAGCATCACTTGTCTTTGGAGACAGCTCATTACTTGGAGTACAGTGTTTCTTAGTTACTACAATCCATTAGGTTTCTAAGGTGACCACCTATCTGCCTGGGAGTATGAAGAAACGCTGGCAGAGAAATTCAGAGCCTGCCTTAAACATACACAGTCACTAATGTATAGGAATGTTGCTTCAATAAAATTCTAGAGTGTTTGCAAATTTTAAATTCTTAATTGACTTAGAGAAGAATAGATTCTAAAAATAAGTTGAATGAGTCTGCTTAGTTTGTTTGAATTTTTTAACTTTTATTTTGTGTATGGGTGTTTTGCTTGTCCTGTATGCCTAAGGCCAGAAGAGGGTATTGGATGGATCATCCTTGGACTGGATGCCTGTCATTCACCCTGTAGGTGCTGGCAATTGAGTCCAGAAGAGTGGCCAATGCTCTTAGCTAGTCAGCCATCATTAGCCAAGAGAGAGGACTACTTTGTGTGGGAGTTTAACACTGAACAAAGCAGTGATGTGTCTTGTGACATTTGAAAAAAATAACCATATTTCTTAAACTCTGTTTCTCTTAATTAGGGTTCCGGAGTTTAAATCCACCTCTGACAATTGTGCGGAAGACATTTGAATCAACAGAAAACCCAGATGACTTCTTACCCTCTGTAATGACTTGTGTGAACTATCTTAAGTTGCCGGACTACTCGAGCATTGAGATAATGCGTGATAAACTGTTGATAGCAGCAAGAGAAGGCCAACAGTCGTTCCATCTTTCCTGATCACAACAAGAAATCAATGTCTGCCTGTTACAGCAAAAGAAAAAAAAATCATGATTTCTTTTCTGTGTGTCACCTGAGTCAAGGAAACATGTTCCTCCTTCTTGTTGTAGGAAATCGGCTTGCAGATTATAATTCATAATGGCCCCGTGGACTTAAAGTGATCAGGCCCTAAAACGTTGTTGTGATGAGGTTTCTTTAGCAAGTTCGTGTTTAAATTATCATTTATTTGATGAGTGAAGTTTTTAACTTGCTTTGCTGTGTGAAATTTCAAAGGGATGTTTTTTCAGGCTGGAACAATAAATGTCGCTGTGCAGTTTAATTCTGGGCTGTGTGTATCCATCTAGCTAAGTTTGCAATTTGTTTCTTCCAAAGACAACTCTTGTACATAAGTACAGACATTAAACTCATGTGTATTTGACAACTCTAGTTTAGTAAATGGGTTCTGTGTGCTTTCCACCTCTCTCTCTAAATTTCTTTTCCCACTTCATTGCTGCCTCTGCAGTTCAAACAGGTTGTTTTTGTTTTTAAATAATGCAACATGAACAGTTAAAGACATTTTCATTAGCCCTGGGCCTTGTCATCCTGGGCTCTTTCAAATTAAGATAACAATTTAAAATTTATTGAATTTAAATATATTCTCAATATAATTCAGCCTTTGTAACTAGGTAAGTAGGCTTTTCTTATAGCTTAGTTTTAATATAGTTACAGAGCACTCCTGGCTTTTTGCCAAGTGACACACTAGGTCTGTTTACATATTTCCATCACCCTCTGGAAAGGAGGAAGGAAAGCGCATTCATTTTTCTGTGTAGGTTAAAAGGTCCACAGCTTGGGCTGGCCAGTATTTATCCTATGGCCAGACCATTTTAAATTGATGTCAAGTTTTAAATTAATTACTTTTCATTCCGTATTGGAGTTTAAACGATTTTTTTCCTTCCCTTACTCCTGTTTTAAGTTGCTGTTCTCAGTCTTTATTTCACTCTCTCATCATCTCCCAGCGTTAATTGCAGATGAACCGCTCAGCCTTTGTCTCCACACAGATCAAAGCACCTGTAAACAATGCTGTCCATTTGTTTGTGTGCTCATTTCTCAGATCTGCAATAATCCGTCAGGTTAATGTTTTTACCTAAAAATAAAAGAAGTTTGCTTCACCATTTTTGTTGATAGTTCTGTGCTGTACACATGCCCACCTGTCTAATAAGCCGTTTCGGCCACATTACAGTGCAAGAAAGTCGTTGTGTGACCACAAGTCCAGCTGTGGCGGGTCTTGTTGTTTACAGCTTCTTGAACACAAAATGTGGAAAGAAAATGGGAGCTGATCCATTCCTTCCTAAGGCTCAAATGAAGACTAATAAATTTGAACTCTGCCTTCATCTCCTTAAAAATGAGATGCACCTTTTTTTAAAAACAAAAAACAAAACTGAACTTTGAAAAAACTAATTGTGCTGACTCTCTTGACATACAGCCTTCTTCATCCCATCTCCCCAAAGGAAGGTAGTGGTTTAGTTTACTACTGTAACTGTCATTCTACACTGACCTTGCCTTACGTGGAAACATCCTCTGCTGACAGAAATCTCTTGACAGTTTGCCCAGTGTGGAGGAGTTGGGGCCAGGAGGCCTCTGCTCACAGAGGCTTGTAAATGAGCAATGTTACCTAGAGGGGGAGGGATTTGGGTTCTTCAGCTTCACCCTGTTGGCCAGAAGATCTGGGCTCCTTTGTCTCCAAAGTTCTTGTGTTTTACAAACTGAGCACAAACATTTTTGTGTGAACATAGCATTTTGTTCCTCACTTTTTAAAGGTCTGTTAAAATGTAGACATCTGTATAAAAGTGATGTTTCATATTAAAATAACCTGTATTTGCATTTTACACCTGTGGTGCTGGCAGATTTGGCTTCAATGATTCCTTGCATCAATTGAATGCTTATGGTTCTCACTGGACTGTTTCAGAGCCGGAAGTCATTGAAAAGCTTTGGTTGTCATTTTACTGTGTTCAGTGCGTGGGACCTGTGGTTAATTGGGGTCAGGAAGACCACATTTTAAAGCACTCTCAGCAGAGGCCTTAGTTTTGCACACCTGGGGAATGTACACTTGGTTTGCTGTTCTAGTCCTCACTAAAGGATTGATTCAGGGACCAGCAAGCACCATTGGTATGACAGCCAATGCTGCACTGTCAGGATGTTAACAGAATCTCCCTTGTCCTAGGAGAGTAGACTGCATATTGATCTAAGAGGCAGTAGGTGCCGTGGCCCAGCTCAGCAAAAGCATATCATATAGCCACCAACACTGGGAGAGTCTGGTTGTTGTCGAGCTAGGCACACCTCATGAGAAGTTTTACAGCCAACAGCTGAGCTCCTGTTCAAGAGTGACTTGAGCATCTTGTGCATGAAGGCCAAGGACCAGAGCCCCAGGTTGTCCCCACTCCTGTCTGTGTTTCTACTCCAACAGTCCCGCCAGCACTGTGCAGTCATGCCTTTCGTTTTTGTTGTTTTGTCTTTAATGTGGGTGGGTGCTGGTGACCCAAACTAGGTCCTCATGCTTATGGCTCAAGCACTCAACCCACTGAGCCGTCGTCTCCCTAGCCCATCACCAGCAGATTGAGTTTTTGGTGTTCTCTCAAGTTCACCTTGTTTTGAGATTTTTTTTTCATTTAACAGTACAAAGTACAAAGTTGAGGAAATAGGATGGTCACCATTATTCCAAGACTGGTTGGGAGGAAATGTGTAAAAGTGTATTACTATGCCTAGGATTTCCTGAGTGGTTCTGGGTGTTCCTTTGACAGAAATGACCTCCATTTGTTTCTTTTACACTTTGGTTTCCTGACCCATTTTGTTTTCTCTGTTGTAATGAGAATATTGTCTTGAACTGTCATGCTCTGTATGATTCTTTGAGAAGTGTTATATAGGTGTTAGGTTTGACATTGCTGTAGCTGGTATCCACAGTAAGGAGTGACCTTGTGACAGGTCATTGGAAAGTCCCAGTTACCCAGACAGTAATACCAGGCAACGCATAGCACTTAACTACATCAAAAAATTGGCATATGACAAGAAGTTCAACTGAACAACTAATGGCGAGAAGAAATTCCTTAATGCTTACAGACTTATTCTTTATCAAGGAGACAGTCTTCAATAATGGAAGAGGGAGTTTTATTTTTACTACAAACGGACTCAAAACCAAACTGATAAGCAACTGCTGATCTCTGTAAAGTGTTTTCTTTCTCTTTTGATCTGAAACATTTATACGAACTGCTGGAATAATGGAACTTCAGACTAATGTGTATGTAAAATTGCATCGATGCCCTGACTTCCTGACTATATTTTTAATAAACGGCATTATCCTTCATGGTTAGTTTTGTTACATTATGTACAACCAGAGGGTATTTTGTGACAGGTGGTGTGTGGAAGGTTGTTTTGAAAAGCTGCTTCTGGTAAGTAGCAGTGATCTTCACAATATTGAGGGTAGGTTGCCTGCTCAGAGGTAGAGCAAGATGTTCACTGTTATGGGACTTCTATGCACTGGTGAAGCCTTCTGCCTTTGGAGTTCTTGAAAAACCCTTGAAAATGTGCAGCGACAATAGTCTCTTGATGGCAGATGCCCTGAAATCTCTGTCCTTGGCTGTCATGGCTGTTTTACTCATGACCAAATGTCCACATCAAGTAAGTCTATTTCTGAAATAAAAATGATCTATGCTAGCAAAAGCAGGTAGATTTAAACACAAACTTGTGTGTTGTCTTGGTATTACTGTCTGGGGGGTGGGGGAAGCACTTTTCCTATAAAAGGAATCACAGTTGAGAGGTGCTGCTAGATAAGAGTTTGCTGTTGGGGCTTGGGGAGCAGCACCTTGGGTTGAAATAGTTCTGGGAAGTGGTATCCAAATGTTGATGGACTTTGTACATGATTTAGTTCTAATTTTTTATGTATATGTGGGTGAGTTATAGGTACACAAGAGGCCAGAGACCACTGACCTTTTAAAATCTTAATGGCTGCTGTTGGGCCAGTATTCAATAGATAGCACAGTATCCCTTTTGATTCTACTGTTGAATTCAAGTATGCCAGGTGCAGGGTGGCATATGGGCAGCTGTGTAGGTCTCATGCTCCTCTTTATGGAAGCTTGTGCTTTTCCTTGAATGAGTCTTGGCCAGCTACATAAACTTGAGGTTTATCCAGTTCCCTGTTACTTTTCCCAATTTATGTAAGACTGAGCAGTCAGTGCTGGTTGAGTGATGCTTATCTTCCTATGTGGGACTCTGCAAGAGAACGCCCCCCCCCCCAATGCATATTTGATCCTCAAAACACTTGGCCACTGGGACCAACAGTAACCTTGGTAGATGATATTAAAGGGATTGGTTGTCCTAAAGGCTTTAGTGGAGACCCTTTGCCTGGCATGTTGTTTCTACAGTCTTCCTGGCCACAGTGCTTCCTTCCCTTCAGTATTGAGTTGCTTTTCTCATTGCTTTGACAAAATGCTTGGCCAAAGCAACTTAGGAAGGATTTGTTTTAATTTATGACTTAAGAGCTATAGTCCACCATGATGGGGACTGAAGCAAGTGCAAGTTCAGTAGAAAAGCTTTCATATGGGCTGAGTATGTGGCTCAAGGGTTCAGAGGCTGTGATTTCTTTAAAATATTGAGGGATTGGTGCTGACCCCCAGCCTTGCTGGGACAATTGAGGAAATATGCTTAATTGCTTTCCACAGTTCTTGACTTATGTGGTTGCTGGTATTCTTTTGAATTCTCAACATACAGGTAGTGTAAAAATGTATTATAATTGAATTTTTCACGTTTCCCTCATGTTATTTTTCTTGACATACATATAGCCAGGTATAGTAGTATATTTTTATAACCCTAGTGCTAGTGTAGGATGGTTTTAGGTTTGAGGCCAATTTGGGTTATCTAACAAGGACCTGTGTCAAAACAAAACAAGCATTAATCTATACATGACAACACTGGAGTTTTGAAGATTGTTTTCTGCATAAGATTTGCAAAGATTCTGCTTTCTGAATGTTAATTGTCAGCAGTTAAGTGTGCTTGCTGAGTATGCACAAGGACCAGAGTTGGATCTCAACACCCATGTAAAACAGGGAAACCTCATGCACCTGCCTGTAACTCCTTCTTTGAGGAAGTTTGAGACAGGAGCTTTCTGGCACCTAGAACTGGAGTTATTGATGGTTGTCAGCTTCCTGGGAACTAAACCTAGGTCCTCCACCAGGGTGGCAAGTGTTCTTAATGGCTGAGCATCTCTCCATCCCCTTCTTAAAAGTCTCCAACTTGGCGATGAATTGCAGACAGATGCAGGTGGTGCCTAGAGAGAGAAGAGGAGGAGTGTAGAGAGAACAATAAACATGCCACTTCCATGGCCTGAGGGGTCTGCTTAATATTTGAGGAGCATATTTAAATATTCAGAGACACTTCTCTGTGGCTGTGAATCACTTGTAAACAAAACCAGAGAGAAGCTATTCTGTTAAAGGGTTTGGTTACAGTTGGAGTTTCAGGTTAGTGACGCTAGTGGGTAGGTCGTGTTCTTTCTGATCATATCAGTTCTGAAAGGTGTGTGTAAGTATTCTCAGGTGTAATTTGACTTATTCTGGCTTCTGTGCTCTTCAGTGGTTCCTATGATTGTAGTAGAATAGCAACTACCTCCCACTTGGTCTGATTTAATTGTGGAAAGGATGTGGAAGTGTCGGAGCAGGCATGCGTTGGATTGCTCTCTCTGAATGCTATCATCTGATCTTAGCCGTCATCTGATCCGGGAGTCTGTGTTACAGATGAAGAGAGAAGTCAATGAAAGTCCAAGGACTTGTGTGGGCTGGTGTGAGTGGCAGAGCCATGGCCAGAATGCAAACTTGGCCTAGGTTCTCTCTATTTTACCTAGATACTTAGGAGACTGAGGCAGCAACCCTCTTCCCATTCAATGCCAAGTCAGTTCTCAGTCTTAAGCCAGGATCTTCCTCTTCATCCCCCAGTCCCTCCTGTCTTCAATCTTTAAAGCTCTTATTTAAAGATTTATTTTTATTATTTTAAATCATGTGTATATGTATGTGTTTGTGTGGGTATGTCCCCATGAGTGTGGATGCCCACTGAGGTTAGAGACATTGGGTCCCATAGAGCTAGAATTAGAGGCAGTTATGAGGTGCCTGATGTAGGTGCTGAGAACTAAACTTGTGTCCTCTGCAAGGGTAGCCAGTGCTCTTAACCACTGAGCCATCTCTCTATCCCCTCCTTTTCTTTCATGACTTTGAACATGCTGTCCACTATTCTGTCTGTATTGCTTCTGCTATGAAGTCAGCTGTCATGCTAGTAGGCTTTCTGTAACAATACATCTGAAGAAAAATTTTAAATAAAGATTAATTTTGATTCATAGTTTTTGAAGTTCCTGTCTATGATTGGGTGGACCCATTGTGCTAGGCTTCTGATGGGCATGCATGCCCAATGACAACATTAGGAAGTATATGGCTGAGCAAACCTGCTTACAACATGAATCCGAGAGTTTAAAAAAGCAAAAAGTTGGCTGAACCATTCTCCCCAAGTCCCTTTGGGAGCATGACCCCCAGTGATCCAAAGATCTTCCACTAGGTGCCATTTCTTGAAGGTTCTATTACCTCCCACTTGTGCTGCCTTGGAAACAAAGCCTTAAATACATTTGAGAGACATTCCTTTAAGTATCCCATCTACTCCCTTCTCCCCTTTCTCCTTTGTGACTACCATTATACATACATTGCACTCTTACGATGTCTCAAGGCCTCTGAGGCTCTATTAATTTTTTTTATGTTTCTCCTAACTGACCTATCTTCAAGTTCAGTAATTCTTTATTCTGCTTATTCAAATATACTGCTGACTTCTCCACCTCCGCTGAGATTTTTAGTTCTTTTTAGATTTTAGAACTTTTTGACCCTAGAAATTCTGTTTCTCTTCCTTAATTTCCATTCCTTTATTGCTATTCCCTATTTGATGAGACATTTTTCTTAGAATTTTCTTTAATTTTTGACCTATCTTTTGGATATTTGAATGAACCCTTTATAACTTTAAAAATCTTTAAGCATAGTATTCAAACTTTAATTGACTACTTCCCCACCCACCATCTTTCCTCTTTATACATTTTTTATTTTTTTAATTGGATAATGCTGCTAATATAATGCAGCAACTCTGGAAAGCAGGTTTCTTCCCCCTTGTGGAATTTGTTGCTCTTGGTGGTCGTTATGGTTTGGTGGCTTTTCTAGATCAATTCCGGAAAGTATACTTTCTTCCTCTGTTAGCTTAATTAACAAAGCTAAGAGTTAGAGAAAGGTTTCTTTAAATGCCAAGATGACTAGCTCTTCCATCCTTTCCTGGGGGCCCCTGTGTGTGGTGTGGGTATGTGTGGTGTGGGACATGTGTGTACATAAGCACCCTTCCGATGGGGCATCTTTTCAGTGTTTGCAGGCAGTGTAAAACTTTTTCTTGGCTTTTACTTCTGGCTCATGAAGAAACTCAGTCTTTTTGATACTTTGTAGGCATGCGCACAGCTCCAGAAAATGTACACTGCTGTCTACATTGCCAGGTGTGTCAGAACTCTTGGACATCCCAGAGCATTGAGTCTTGTTTTACTTAAAAGTTTAAATTAAATTTTGATTTTTAAAAACCAAGATCAAGCTAGTTTTCTTAAGTGTTCCTCTGATGGCTGGATAACTTCAGTTGGTTTTCAGAATTTTTTAAAGATCTGATTATTTATGGGGACAGAGATGGCTCAGGGGTTAAGAGTACTGACTGTTCTTCCAGAGAACCTGGGTTCAATTCCCAGCACCACCTGGCAGCTCAAAACTGTAACTCCAAGATCTGACACCCTCACACAGACATACATGTAGGCAAAATACCAATGCACATAAAAATGTAAGGTCCGAGAAAATGCTGAAGGAGACCAGACTCAAATAGTATGTAAGAGCAAAGAGTGTTTATTATACCAGTGTATGTGAGGTCGTTCACCTGAACAAAATAGCGACGACCCGAGAGGAGCGTGCAGACTCCTTTTAAGCATAGCTAAGGAGAGTTTCAGGGACAATTAGGTCAGCTCATACATAATTGATTAAGTAAGTAGCATTTACACTAGTATACTTTTAATTGGCTGTGGTTTAGTCTTATCATTTTTGGACATACTTGCACAAGTTTGGGCAAGTCTGGATGTGACTCAGAAGTGGCTGAAGGATTTGTCCTTGAGACACTGCATGACTGACTTAGGCCTTGTGTTTTTCTTTCCCTAGTCCCTGAATGCAAGGGTATTGTGGTGAAATGGCCCTTCTCAGAAACTGAAACCTAAAATTCAGTTGTGAGAGTGGGAGAGTTTAACCCCTTCAAAAAAAGAATTAAAAA